TTTTTTTTTCAATTCATTCTCGACATTCAAGTTCATTAATCATCTATAATTTAATCTTGTCAGCTCGTAACTTTTATCACCAAAAAATCATTTCCCATTCCACTAATTATAAACAAATGCGTGTATTATAGAAAATATGCACTGATGTATTTAATGTATACACGGTGTTCGTTTCTTATTCGAGGTTAGAAATCCGATTTATAGTTCTAGCGTGCTTTCGTAAATAGCACTGTCGCGGCCGAATTGCTCATTCTCATGAAAGTTCTCATGAGAATGCGTCTTCACCCGCCGCAATGACTCTGAAGATAACAACATGTGGCAATTTATTCGATACGACACTCTATTTCTGTTTCATACGTTCATGATCGAACACGTCCGTTCGACTTCGACTTTCGGTGAATCGATTCGACATTCTTCAATTCGAGTTTTCATTCGGCAGCCATTATGCTTTCCTTTATATATAAGGAAAATGATGATTAATCTGGGCCGAACTGGTGGACGTTCGGAAAATTACCGAGGATTTTTGGCGCTTCCCACGGGTCGGTTCTCCTGGATTCACGGGGTTAAAAGACTAATACTCCTAACTAATTTCTCTAAATTTCCCAAAATTCTGAGGCAACCTGGCAATTCACGGGATACAAAGGTTGCACTTGTTCCACGTGACCTTCCGCCGAAAAACGTAACCAGTTAACCGCCGTAAAATCCATTGTAATTTGGAGCGCCGGCATTTCAGCCGGACCTAATCGATTCACCGTAAGATTAACAATAGGGTGGTTCCCATAAAGGTTACCGGATGACTCTAAAATTTGGCCCTTATTCACGATAACCCTATGGGCCCTCAAAAATGCGTAATTTCAGATCTTTATTAATCGGTGACGAAACGAAACCGCAAAATTACTAAACGGAATCGCGAAGCAAACGAAAAATAACCACGCTTAAACGGCAAAACGCGACTCGATTATCCCAGGGATAATCGGAAAAATGGCCACACCGGAGTGGGAAATTAAACCCTAATTCCTCTCTCTCTCTTACTTTCTACTCACGATCCGTGTCTGAATGTCGCCGGAGGTGGATGTTCTCAGGTCATGGTGGTGTTTCTAACGAACATCTCCACATGTTCGTTACAACTCTAAATATCCTTATAATTTTTTCGAAAACTGGAGAATTTTCCGGAATTTTCTCAAAAACCGGAGAATTCTCTCGAAAATCGGAAATATTTCTCGAAAACTTGATAAGAACCATGAGAAGATCTACCGGAAAAAATAAACACGAACAGAATAAGAAACAAAAACTGCAGGGCCCCTTCCAAGGCCCACTTTTATGTCACCTTGGTTTCCGGCCATTCCCGCAGTTACCGACAGCTGTGGTCGAGATAAAGCCTCTTGCTTTGACCGCAAAGTGGGGGTTCGTAAAATCGCCACTCGGGAAAAAAATCCTTCCATGCGGGCCTTAAGTGATTTTTTTTTCGTTTTAAAGCCAAATTCAGGGTGATTTTAAATTATATATTATATATTTTTTAGTGCTCTCTTCCATTCTACTGTTTTTAAGATAGGAAATTCGTCATGAGAGGTTTTTGGTAGAGTAAGTTGGGATGAACAAAAAATATTCCAAGGAAGGTTTCATCGTCTCTCTTGGTCCGCTTGTGGCCGGAGTGATGCTAGTATTGATTTTGTAAAAAAAAGCGTTCATTTTTTATGTCTCTGATATAACTAATAGTTTGCTGGTACTCCGTACTTAGCAAACTATTGCTGCCGTACTATGGAGTACAATAGTACTCCATAAAATCTCAGTCGAAAGATTCGTATTTTTTTGTAGACAGAGTAATTTACGATAGTATAATATAGTTGAATGCTGAATCGAGTGATGCAAAATGGAGATTTTTTAAAAATTAATTTTGGAACTGTTGGAGTATTAAACAATTTCACGAAAAAAAAAACGTGAAAGCTTGAACAAATCAACGAAAAAATATCAATTGTATGAATTTTTTCTTTAATCAATATAAAGAAATTTCTTTCTAGTAAATAATAATTTCATCCGCAAAAATTCATTCCCTTCTATTTATGAACTGTTTTTTGATGATTCTTTCAAAAAATTCTCATTTCTCCTATAATTCACGAATTCTTTAGTAAAGTAGTAAGAAAAAAATATTAAGTAAACCAATATTGAGGTATATTATTTCCCGAATGTCTCGCTACCTACGAGGTCCAAAGAAATTTAGCAAAAGATTTTTTCTATAATCCTTTCAATTCACTGTATCGTATATCACTTGATAAATTTCGCTCAATGAAATCGATCATGGGCTCATCCTTGTCTATCACTTCATGTATGAAATACTGACTCAATCTATTAATTCTATTCGATGGCAATTATTTGATTCCTCTTTTATCGAATTTCTATATTGAATCATACATCAATCATCAAAGATTCTTCTTTCCAGTCGGGACCAAGAAAGCTCAGACGAAATATTAAAGAACCCTATCAAAAAAGAAGACTTAGTGTGCGAGTTCGTGGGTAAACAAGCGAACCGTATCCTAGCATCATCCCTAGCCAGCCGCTATCCCCACCTTCGCGAAGCTCAAGTTGATTACGATCCCCGAGTGGAAGCTTTCTGGTTTGCTGGTGGTATTGAGCTCCACCGCTACATAATCAGCGGTAGGAAAGCAAGAGGGTGGAACAACGTGCTTGACGAACCGGCGGACAGAGCCTTCCAATACTTGGGGAATCCATCACTCCATCTGAGGCACAAACTACCCTTGAAAGAGATCATCCCATTGTCAGAGTGTGAAAATCCAGATTTCCATGTTCCCACATTCAAATACGATCCTAGAACACAGGGCCACAGCGCGAAACGAAGGCATGGCACGAATATTCCTGGATTTTGGCCAGGGGATCTCAATCAATTTGGATTGATGTCTTATCACAAACGTGGATACATGATGGGCAGAAACTGGAATGATGAACTAGTGGCTTTAAGGACTCAGGCTATTTATGCTAACTGGGGATGGCTGTTGGCTCAAGCCTGTCATCTAGGTGAATATCTATTCCTTTATTGCCTTCTCGTGGTAATTTTTCTAATTTTTGCTTCCGAATGGAAGCATTCGACATCGCCTAATAAAACATGCGTATTTCAATTTTCTCTTTAAAACAAGGGAATCTCAAAATTCGCGTTAAGACTGGGGTATCTCGAAATTCATGTGAAAGATTGGTGTGCACATCCATTTCTAAGTCTCATGGAGCTCGCAAATCATTTTATTTCTCTTCCAATGTGAACTACTTCATGTTATTTGTACTTTTTGATGCATTCATACCATTTATACAGCTGTCAAGAGAAGGAAAACATGAGATTTCAGTCGATGGTAACTGAAAACGTAAGTTTTCAGTGACGATTTTTCAGATGAATTTTGAGATAGCCTTGTTTTAAAACGAAAATTAAAATCCCCATGTTTTATCAGGAGTTGTCGCATTGTAATCGTTCAAATTTAAGTTTTGGATTTTTTGTGTTACTAGGGGGCTACGCCCCCTGCTCGCTCCCCCCTCCCGGTGTGACCGAGTGGGTGTGACCGGGGTTTTTCCAATAGCTCTATACATACTTTACCATAAGAGGCCACAAACGTATAATTCCCCCACATATATAGCCCCCCCCCATAAATGGCTACCCCCATATATAGGTACCCCCCTATATGGGCACCCCTCATATATATAGGTACCCGCCCATATATGGGCACCCCCCCGTATATGGGAACAACCCCATATATGGACACCCCCTACATATGGGCACCACCCCATATATATAAGCACCCCCTCATATGGGCACCGCCCATATATCTAGGCACCGCCCATATATATAGGCACTCTCCATATATGACCACCCCCATATATGGGCATATCCCATATATGAACACCCCCATATATGGGCACCCCCCCATATATGGGCACCCTCCATATAGGGACACTCCCCCTATATATGGGCACCCCCCATATATGGGTGCCCCTCTATGTATAGGCATCCACCCATATATGGGCAGTCCCCTTAGAACCCCTATGACCCTTATGAACCTTATTATCCCTATGCCCTTCGTGACCCTTAGCACTCCTATGACCGTCGTGACCCTTAGCACTCCTATGACCTTCGTGATC